ATGAGCTTTTGAGGTCCCTTCCAACTCTTGAGATTCTGTGTTTCTGTGATTCTGTGAGCCTTTAGGTATCTGATTAAGATTTCTCCTTGTATCAATATAATTAGTATCAGTGCAAACACATCCTCAGTAGGACAGATATGTTTCAGAAAAATAATTCTGCATGTGTGATTGAGTTCAGTCACAATAATTAATGTGCAATAATACTTGGAGAAGAGCAGCACTCTCACGAGAGGAGTGTGTATTCCCAGCACTCCTCTGCTGAGTGGGAGCAATCAAAATGCATGGGAGATGCCATCAGTCCAAAGAAATACTGCTGTTTGGTTATGTCACTGAGAGAAGGTCATGTAAAGTCTGAAACTAGACAGGATGGTTCTTTCATATTTCTCATTATCAGCCTTAGGCCAGAAATAGCCCATCCGTAAGCACTGGCGCAGGCGTGGGACTGTCTGATGGCTGCATGAGAGGGTTCTGCAAATGCAACAGCAAAAAGGAGACCTTAATGACTTAACTGTAGCAAACTTGGCACTGGATGTTTTTGGTTTTGTGGCTATTAAATGCATATCAGATTATTTTTGCAATTTAAGAGGTTGGTATGATTTTCCACAGGTGGCAGTGCAAGGTAATAGAGAGAGACACATACAGCCCTGCTCTGCTGCTCTGGATGTATTTGGAAAAGCTTTTAAGAGATGAAAGGAGCTGGGCAGAGCCTGCTTCCAGCCAAGCAGAAACAGAGGGGGAGTGATTTGTTTGAGCTAGAAAGACATTATTTTACCCAAACCAAAGAGAGATGCAGGAGCAGTTGTGAAAATCAATTTATTTTCCAGATTCATGCTAATATGTTCTGTCTTACGCTGGTGAGGATGGAAAGAGAAAGCTTAACCTTTAGATGCTTGTCAGAAATAGGGGGAAGGATTTCATGTAATGCCAGTGGATTGAATTATAATTCAGGCAGTGAGTTAAAACAGAGACAACCTGCTCATATTGATGGGTACAAATTTCTTGTCTAGCGTTATATTGAATTTCTCTTTCAGTGTTTTCTCCATTTCTTCATCTGCGACGATGGTGATTTCTACCAGATCCGTATTATCCTTGTAATTGTACTCTATCTCGGTGAGTTTCCAGCCCACCAGCGCCCGGATGCCATCCATTGTCTGCAGACTGCAGATGGACTTGGTCACAAACAGCGAGTCTGGCGCTGTCTGCAGGTGGGCGTTGCGGACTCTGAACTCTTCGATGTCTCGTGGCTGAAGGGTAAAGAGATAAACCCGACGGCAAACTTCTCTGTCCACGTTATGGGAAGTGGAGACGCTTTGATTTGGAACCCACTGCTTCCTTTTCACCTTCTCCAGGTACCAGATCCCGCTCTCCTCCAGGAAGCGGAAGACCCCAGGAGTCTGCAACTGGTCTGTCCCTGAAATCAGCTCCATTGGCTTCCACATCTGGTAGGCCATCCCAAACCCACCATCCACGATGTAGGATTTGTCATCAAGCACCACTTTTAGCAGCAGATGATCAATTTCATCTGCATACGTGTCGTACTCTGGGACATAAACTTTTGATCCCAGAAGGGTGACGTTGTAGCCAAGGGTTTTCAGGACCCAAAATAAAAGGTGGTTGTTTTCCATGCACCAGCCCCCACGGTTCCTCCTCACTATCTTGTTGTAAGTTGCTTCCAGGTCCAGCTCGATGCTTTCCCCACAGTGGATGCTGAGGTTCTCAAAAGGAACTGCTCGGATGTGGTGCTGGAATATGTCTGTCAAGGTGGGCAGGTCCGGCTTCTCGTAGGTGCCCCAGTAAGAAATTCTGGTGAAATACTCCTTGATGTCCATATGCCTCTGAGAGAAGGGTGAAAAAACTGTTAATGGGTGGTGTCAGAAGTGACAGAAGGATCTTCCCCATCACTTATGATGGGGCACTCATCAGTATGGGCAGCCTGCTCCAAAAAGGAGCAGGATTTGACTAATGGCCCATCAAAGGCAGTTGAGTGTGAGTATTAGCTCTGAGGGAAGCCAATGGGACATCGCTGATGAGCACAAACATTATTTTTAATTGTTTCTTTTAGAGCTGTGATGGGAGGCTCCAGCTGTGCTAAGCGCTTTTCAGCAGAGAGCCCCTGCCCAGCAAAGCTACAAATCTCTGTAGGAAGGAACAAAAACAGTAGCTGCACTGCTTCCCTCCTAGAAATTATAGGAACTGAGACTCTCTGGATCTGAACTGCTTTACTTGAGGTTTGACTCAGTGAAGCAGAAGTAGAAAACAAACCCTCCCAGTCCTGCACAGCAATCCAGAGCCTCCTCTGCGACCAAATCTGAGACAAATCTGCCCAGAAATTTCCTTCATTGTTGAGGCAGCCTGGCATGATCCAGACTCACCTGCTCCCGCTCTCTGTTCTAGTGCCTGGAGCACAGAAGGGGATTTTTTTAGGGCAGAAAAGGCCATGGGAGTTTTTTTGCTGCATCTGCTGCAAGCTGCCTCCCTGCACCACAGCTTAGCTCCCCGGCTCTGGTCACCACAGTCCTATGCCAGCACAGGGAGGAAACCAAGGTTTGGGCTAAAACTGCAAGTTTTCATGGGCCTCACATTTTCTGACTTAACTTTTGGGATGCATTGGATCTTTCAACTCATAATCTCCCCAGCCTGTGGGTGAGGGACCAGGCATTGCCCTCCCCATCCCTGCTGCAGCAGAAGGGCGATGGGATTGCGTTTCACAAGCAGTGAACAAACAAGCAGTTGGAGTTCTCTTGGCCTTCGATGGCAAGGAAACAAGGAAGGCATTTTGATGTAGCCAAATATTTTTGTTATTCCTCCCCAGGCAGCGCTAAATTTCAGACATCTCTGAGTACGGAGCATTGTTTTGGGACCTGAGAGGTCCCAAAATGTTCTCAAGTTCCTGTGTGTGATTTTTAAGGTAAAATCATAAGGAAAAGTCCAACTGTTCAAACAGGATTAAATCTGCAATCTGATTTAAAATGGCACACATCAAATTGTACGGAAATTTTGGAAAGATACTTTCAGTATATAAACAGATGAAGGAAAATGAGAACTTTCCATTTGGCGTAATAGCCTGGCAGAACTAGAGGCTGCCCCGGTTTGGCTTCCCACACTTTCTAACTTTTTGGATAGAAACATTACAGAAATCTGTAACTTGCGTCACAGCCACGTCTGCGACACAAAACGAGCAGGCCTGAATGATCCCACACGGGGTTCAGAGCATCTGGTTATAATTCCGGGGATGCTCCTTGTTCAGCTTTTCGCACATTCCCAAGCTTTTCCTCAAAGCTCCACAACTACAGTTCTATTCATTTTGGGAAACTTGGCAGAAACTTCACTCTTGCTGTGTGAACTTTAAACCAGCACCATCAGCAATGAGCTGTTTTCCCCTTTTCTTTCCCTCCCTTTCTTTCACTTTGCCAAAACATGTATAGTAATTTTAACTTAAAGGAAAAACATTGGTGTGGCATTTGTCTGTCTGTCCATCTCTTTGGGCTGTTTATAAGGCCCTTTTGGCAGTGGTATCTGAAATGGGTCAGCTGGCACAAATGCCCAATCTGCTTGAGGCTGGTGTCTGGGTAAAAAGACCCCCTTATCTGTCACACCGAGCAGCTGACCTCCCCGCTCTGCCCTCATGCCATTTTCTGCCATATTTTGTGTTCAAACAGATTTAACTTCCTAGTTAGGGAGCACTCAGCTACCAAGATTCGGAGTTTAAAAAAAGGGCTTACCTGGAAATCAGTGCAACCACCAGTGTACTTCTGGAGTTTGGGGAGGATGGTTTTTTAGGCTAAAGCAGGTGGCGCGGCCTTTACCCAGCACAGACAGAGCTCGAGGAGTGCTCTCCTGCTCCTCTTCAGGGAAAAGCCTTTTCCCTCAACTTGCTTTCACCGCCTCTGTCAGATTGCAAAAGCTGAAGAAAAAAAAAAAGGCAAAAAAAAAGCAGAAGGGTGGAGCACAAAAGCTGTGTTGAGAGAGCAAACCGGACAGCACTGACTCAATGCGGATACAAACCCTGGGTGTTATTAGAGCAGAGGCTGCTTCACATTTCCACTCATTTCATGCTTTCTGCAGGAGCTACCATGGGCTGGGACAGAAAGAGTATTTTTCTGTTCTAATAGCTGGCTGAATGCACTCGAGTAATATGCATTTCTTTTGCCCAGGTATTAGGTTACTATTTGTTTGGAAACATGGGGAAGAAATCTTGCATGCATTCAATCCGAGACAGTTTTTGCGCTGTTTCTGCAGAGCAGCAAGATTTCAGCACTGTAATTTGCACCTGACACCCCCTTGCCCAAGCACAAGAACTTCAGCTCTGCCTTTGCGTAATTTGCTATTATTTATGTGTTGTTTGGGGGTTTTTTATAGTAAGTTTCATAGAATGCAAGAAAGCGCCGGGACAGCAGTGTGTCTTCTGTGATCTTTGCCCAGAAGCAGCGCCTGAAGACTCCGTGGTGAAGGTGCTGTTGGCAAAGTGATGCCTGTGGAGTCCTGACACATGGGGAACTCCATCCTTTCAGTGTGTTTCATGCTGCTTTTGTATCTACAAGTTAATTCTCTCACATATACAGCTGGATTCTTTCCTGTGAGCTCCTCAACAGTAGTTTCAGTCCTTCACAATTAGTATCAATGGCAAGTTTCATTCAAACATTGATTTATTGGAATAACTAGCAGATATCATAAATCAGACCAGACAGAGATGTCTGTGGTAGCCCATTACACAGCTGCACTCCCATATCAAAATTTGTCTCTTTATCATCATTGATGGCTGGTGTTTGACCCTGCAAGCAAGAACCCATGCCCAAGGCGAAAGGTGCTGAAGGGAATGGATTACAGGCCATCATGCTCTTCTGGGCAAATCTAATTTGCTACAAAGAGAAAGCTCCTCTTCCTGGGTGGATCTTGCTGTATGTGGAATAATCCTTTCTCTTACCACAGTCTGAGAGTCCCTCATTTTGACGAAGAAAAGCCAAAAGCTGAGCAGGCAGCCTCACAGTCCTGGTGGGAACTATGCTGAAAAGAAGCTCATGGACCCATGGCTGTGCAGTGTTCGAGCAGACTCAGCTGTGCTCCTTGCCTGGAGCCATTTGCGACCACAGGCAGTGCCAGAAGTGGACACTGGCCATGCTCCCTTGCATAAATGTGTGGAGTGGTTTGGGATCTGTTCCAGCTAATTTTGGAGTCCCATTAGGACACAAGTGTTTTCTAAACAATTAGGAGCAAAAAACATTTCTGCTGGTACTTTGGTGCTCAGCTTCTCAGCTCCTCTCCCTTTAACATATCTCTGATATGGAACATTTCCTTCCCGTGCCTTTCAGATTCTCATTCCAGCTCACTCTCCATTTTCTTCCCACTCTCTGCTCATCAAACAATAAAACCATGAGCTCTCATTCTCCCCAGGTGTGCCCTGGGGCATCTGAGGGCAAAGCTCATTCAATGAACGCTAAAGGTAAGAAAAGGCTGATCTTGACCTGGCAGCCTTGCAGGAGTCTATTTGCATTTTAGCTCATTGGAGGTAATTTCAGGATTGATGGGGCAATAAACCACAATCACAGCTGCTGGGTGTTGTGGCCATGACATGTCTCGCATCCCTGCCTGCACCCCTCCCAGAAACAGCAAAGGGCAATGCCAAGCTCCAGCCGGCTGTGTCACCAGGAGCGTGAGGACAAGGTGAAGGTGCAAAGGGGAATGTCCTTGGAAAGGACACTGCTGTCCACCTGGTCATTGTGATGCAGTTTCCCAGTCTTGGCAGGAGCTGAAGCTGGTCGAGCTTTTTCCAGAAGACCCTCGATGTAATTGCTTTCACTTTTATTTATTTATAAATTTAAACTGCTGACAGCATTTAATTTATTGCTGAAATCAGTCTTTCTTCCTATCTCTCCCGAGAGGCTTCATCAAATATCCCTCTCTCCCTTTAACAGAGTATTATATGCTGCAATATTTGCTTGAAGAAATAAAGGCATAGGGTACCCTGTTTGGGCATTAATGATACGATATAATATAATATAATAT